GCTTTTTAAAACTATTAGCAGTGATTGGTAGCATTGGAGCCTTGTGTTAAAGAAGTGAAAAATGAGAATGAGAATAAACTTTCAAGTTATTCCATGTGCTATTTTTCTGTTTATTGAAGATCAGTGGGTAGCAGTAGCCTTTTTGCTTGCTTTAAAGTGTGGTGACATGTTATTAGTTCAAATAAATACCATGAACAGAACTAATTCTCCTTTCCTTATGCAAAATGTTCTAACCCAGCTTTTGGTTTTTAACGTTTCCCTTTTTTCTTTTCCATAGCATTTAATGGAGTCAGTTGTTGATTTCTGACTATAGGGTTCTGATGCTGAAACAGAAAATCTGTGTGTGTGTTGTAGAACATGCAGCAGTACCTTGCACGTGCTGAACGCTGATCAGTGCTTTGGTTGTTATATTTCTCCTTTCCTTGGTCCTTACTTATGTGGCATTTTATTTTTCTTTTTTCTGTTTACAGAATATAAATATTTCTTGCTTAATTTTCCTGTGGAAAACATGGACATCTTTAAAAATAAAACAAAATATTCAGACATTATTTGGGGCTGAATAGTGAATAAAAATTGAAGCACTTATTTAAAACTATGTGCAAGTAATCATGAGAATTTTCCTACAGGATTTAGGCATTTGGTGTGTACTTTTGATATTACTAGATTTTCTTCCCAAGAAAATCAGTAATATTCAGGGATTTGAGGTTTTCAGAGCACAATTTTTAAACCACGTCCAACACCAGAGATAATTATTGTATGCAGTAATGTTTTTCCTGATTGTTTTGTTTTTTGTTTGTTTGTTTAAGGATTAAAACAAGGTGAGCCAACCATGACCGGCAAAACACAGACCAGCAATGTTACCAATAAGAATGACCCCAAGTCCATCAACTCCAGGGTTTTCATCGGTAATTTAAATACAGCCATTGTCAAGAAAGTCGACATTGAAGCCATTTTTTCCAAGTATGGAAAAATTGTCGGATGCTCGGTTCACAAAGGGTATGCATTTGTACAGTACATGAGTGAGCGCCATGCAAGAGCTGCAGTGGCTGGAGAGAACGCCAGGGTCATCGCAGGCCAGCCACTTGGTAAGCTGTGCTCTGTTGACGATTTCCTTTTATTCTACTTTCTCTATGTGTAGGAATATGGCTGTTTGTTAACAGCCAACAGCACATAGTATATGTTGCTTCCTTAGCTAATTAGAGTTTTGAATATTTGTCATTCATGTTGCATTATTTTACATGCAAGTAGCCTATGTTTTCAACAAATTTATCAACTTGTGATCAAGGATGTTTTGTGATATTTACAACCTCTGTGAGTCCTAACACAGATAAGCAAATATGAAATATGCATCTAATTTAAATTTATTAAATTGAATTGATGTGTAACTTTCAGAAAACATATGCTGTTTCGTGGCCTTGCTGTTATGTGCTGTGAGAGCATAATTCATTTTCTTTATTTTCAGTTGTGTTTTTGTGGGAAAGAAGTTTTAAAAAAAAACAACTAAAGGAAATTCATTTCCCAGAACTGGAAAGGAGTTCAATCTACTCTTTAAGTGGTTAGGAATCTTGTATATCATGCCTCCTCTGTCAAGACTGGTGCTCACTTTGTGCCTCATGTCTGAGGAGTTATAGTGCATCTTTGCTAAGAACAGAGAATATCTTGTGAGGTGAAATTTAAAAGAGGAGAAAACACTTTTTAATTAATGAAGATAGTCAAAAATAAAATGTAAATAATCTTTCCATATTTGCCCATGTGAGGAAAAATGTGCTTAGTTTAATTACATCTCTTGACTTACACAAATCATATTTCAAACTGACTATGCAAATTGTCTGTTAAATACTCAACAGATATTCTTAGCTTTATTTTCTATATCTTATTTTGCACTTAAACTTCTGTGTAACTGTCAATGAAACCTCAATTGTTGTAGCTTTTCAAACACAAATCTAGGCACAGACCCTCATTTTCCGTTCCTGTATAGGGAATGTAATCTATTATAATGTTTTCTTGCCAGTACATCCCAAACTCAGTCACATTCTCAGTCTTCCAGGGACCTGATGGTACAGCCTTTACTGCATGCCACGAACTATGGGAAGGATTCCCTAGCTGTGCTTTTCAACTCTGGAAAAGCACTTCTGATTCTAATATTAACTACATTATGCCATCAACCTGTTTGGAGGCCTCCAAGGCTGTGTCATTTCATACATGATTTCCATTCTGCACCTCAGAATCCCCTGGAATCCCTACACTGCGGCACCTTCAATCTTGCTCTGTCTTTACCTCTTGCACTCTTCTAGTCATACTGGCTGCCTCGGCATGCCTCCAGTTTGGCTGAGTGTCCCTGTTTTAGAGGCTCTGGAGCTGAGTTCCTGCCTTGAGTTATGGCTTCCCTACTTTACTGTGTGCTCTGTGCAAACTTGACTTTCACAGAGAAGTTTTTGTGATCAGCCTAAATAGTTTCTCCCAACTTGCCTTCACCATATATTCTCTAGTTTAATGTTTTTGTAGCCTTCATTCCTACGTAGATGAGATATTTTAGTTAATGATGTTATTTCGTCATATCTATGAACATGAAGCCAAGGCAACATATTACAAAAATGTAGAGAGAAATTTAGTGAGACAAGTAGGAAGAAGACCATTTTATCAAATTCTATCAGTTTGAAAACTTGGTTGGTGCCAGGAATAGTGGAGCGCAGCTATCAGTTCTGGCACACAGGAGCTTAAACAGGAAGATGGAGAGTTTGAGCTCATCTTGTTCTGCACAGCGATTAAAACAAAAAGTTGGGGACGGTATGAAATTCATTAAAATATAAGTGGGGTCTGAATAATTTTTGAAGAAACAAACAAAATGTTTTTTATGAAAGTACCTGACATAGATCCCCAAATAGACATTATATGCAGAAATACTAATTTCTTTACATTGACATGGTTCATTTTCTCTGGTGTGAAGAAAGGTCTGCTTTCTAGTTGCCTATTTGCTTTCATTAATATCTGCATTCTGCTTGCCTATCTTGATACTGGAATTTTCTGGACATTTACTTTACTTTTTAAATAGAAATTCTTACACCAGACCTAAATTCTAGCTAATTTCAGGGACAATACTACACTTATGCCCTATATCCTGGTATCTATGAAATTAGCATATCCTTGTAGAAATAAATAATTATTACTGATTTTTTAGTGGTTATCAATACAAAATCAACTGCAAGTCTGATTCTCTTTTAAATGAACCATAGCTAATTTTCTGGAATACTGCATTCCATCACCACTCAGCCAGTGACCACATACTGTTTTAAAAAGATATAATGGATAAAAAGAAATGAATACCCACTCAAACATTAGTGACTTCATTCCACAGAACCAAGGGATGAAAATGATGCCCTCAGATCTGTGCTCACTGAGAAGCAGACCCTGCTGACAGTAACAGGATTCCATTTCTCTTCACAGCCATTCCTCATGTCAGTTTGTCCCCCAGGATAATCTCCAGTGCGTATTTCTTAATCAAACTTTGTGCTCAAATCCACGATAAACAGTTTATGCCTTCAGTTGATATCTAGTTTATCAACTTCTTTTGCCTAAATGGAAAAAGCCTTTTCAAATACAGCAGGTATTTTAGCATTTACCTGATAACTTTTCTTTTCAGGTCAAGTTTCTTACTATAACCAGCTTTTCTTAACCCTGATTACTAGACATTCTGGAAAATGCTTGATGAGCAGTTATTCACTGTAGATTACTTTGTCAGTCATGTGTGATGACAGCCATGCTTTCTGTATACCTGCCTTCATCTTTAGGTACCATGTATCTCTTTTTTTGACTTGGACAAAGCATAGTTTCAAGTAAATTGATTTTTATTTGTTTACTTTCAAATAAGCAGTTTACAAAAGCATAAACACCCTGATGTGCAAAGAATTGATCATTGATATGACAGGTGCACCATGAAATAGACACTACCTAAGCATTTTTCCTTCCCTTTAGACTGGGAAGGAATTAGTATTGATTCAACCAGATTGAGTTAGTACTCCACCTATTTTTAATTTATTTGATCTTAAATAATGAATAATCCTGAGCCATCTATTGTAGATCATTTTTTCATTATTTCTAAGTTTAAATATTTTATAATATTAAATTTAGAGATCGATCAAAATTTAGTAGTGTAGAGAAAACTGCAACATCCTAATGGCATATCAGTAATATCTGAATGTAAATTTTTAGCTATTTGAAATTACAAATATATTCTTATACTTATTTAACGGCAAATATTAATAATGAATATTTTAATGTTGCAACACCAAAGTCTCTGAAAAGTTTAAGCTGGGGAGTAATATGTTGAAATGTCATTAAAAGAAAGGTCAGGTTACAGTCTGATGGATGAATTAGGGTATTATAAAACTGGAAGTCTGGTATATGAAGGAAATTTACTGAAAGAATTCAAGTTTCAAATTATTGAGTTGGGAGAGGGGAGAATGTGGTAATGATGATATGATAAAACTTAGTAAGTATTTGGATAATGATTAATAAAGTTGGAGGAGAATCAACAAGCCCCACATTTCTGGTCTTTTTCTCTGTTGAAAAATCTTGAACTCCATAGGATCAAAAAAGATTTTTTAAGAGAAAAAATTTTGTATAAAATTATGAACCTAGGCCTTAGCATGTTTTATTGAAGATAAATACACATACTCAAGGATATTTGGGCTCATGTATTATTAAAGTCTAGCATATGTAGGCCCAAATGTAAGTGAAGACATTTGAACAAAAGTTGTTATGAGTCATCAGTTACACATTGTTTTGTGGCTGTAGGAATAGATGAATTCACCATGGAGAGTAGATTGAGTGAGAAGAGAGTATTGGCTAAATATGAGTATGTGGAGAAATCTTTGGGTCCTAAAAAGAACGTTGCTGATAATCCTTCTGCAATGATTGGAAGCAAAGTTATTTTCTGGATTTGCATGCATGCAATTTCTGAGACCCTTTCCTGAATTTGTCCTAGCAGATTCTGCTAGAGTCTACTGTGGAACACATCTTATTCCATGTCATTGCCAAGCAACTCCGTGCTACCAGACCCGCCTTACTCTGCCATGCTCTCTTGTTTTCTGGGCTGGATAGCCTTATGAGCCAAATCTACATCTGCACCAAGGCTTCTAATGTTCCAGCCCTTGCTGTAGTTCAGGCCAGAAGTCCTTCCCCTTCCCCATGCAAGGATTCTTTCATACTGTCTCCATCAATCAAGCAGATATGCTTACACTGAATAGTCTTAGACAACCTGGTCAACCACATGTCTGTAATGCAGGCCCTGAGGAAAGCTTTATTTAAGGTGCATGCCAAAGACAATGTCACTTCTGAGTTCTTTGTGAGCAAGGGCTCAATCAGAATAAACATTGTCTCCCTCGGTGCAGGTGCTACCCAAAGTGGCAGTGAAGCTGCGTATGCAGAGCCAGCATCAGTGAGATCAACTCTGAGAAAATACATTCAGAGCTATTGATTGAGGAAGGGGCCTGTGGAGAAGATTCGGAGAAATCTCAGAAAGAAGCTGGGCGAGTTGGTACAGGGCTTTAATCCCAGCACTCAGGGAGCAGAGGCAGGCAGATCTCTGTAAGAGTGAGGCTGGCTTGGTCTACAAAGAGCATTCCAGGGCAGCTGGAACTACAGGGAAACCCTATCTCAAAAAACAAAAAGACAAGGAAAGAAATAGGTATCAAGAAACAGAAGTCGTGGGATAGACTATACTGCTTATAAGAACTCTGTGTTCCCCTGTACCTGGCTACCTCTAGGGTTAACCTCTGCCAGCCATCTACAAAGTTAAAGAAGGAGCCAAAAGAAAATATTTAGCTCTCTGGTACTTCAGCTGTCAGTAGCAGCGATAGTATACGGAAGAAATTTAGATAAGTCTTATTTATCAAGGCTTTCTATGCTAGAGAATTGAGCCTTAGTTGATACTATAGAGGTGGTGGCAACTGTAAGAGATGACGACTTGTAGAAAGTGACAAAGTCTGTCTTCTTTCTTGCCCGTGCCCTGCTTTTTCCTGAAATATCTCTTTCCTGTAATTTGGCACTGAGGTTCCCTCTACTGTGCGGATTTCTACCGGCTACA